GCCCAGGGAGGGGCTGGAGTCTCCTCCCTGGGGAGATTCCAGAGCCCTCTGGACACAATCCTGTGCCCTGTGCTCTGGGCTGGCCCTGCCTGAGCAGGGAGGTGGCACCAGTGACCCACTGGGGTCCCTTCCAGCCTGACCCACCCTGGGATTCTGTGGAAAAAAACACATCCAGAATGGGACTTGTGCTGGTCCATCTCCAGCTGTTTTCCCAGTGCCTGGGTAGAAATCCATACACACTTTGCCACCCTGGGTCGCTGCATCCCCACTTCATCCATCAGCAACTCAGAGGGGCATTCCCACTTGTCTCAGTCACATCCCTATCCCTGGGAAAACCCTCAGGGATTTATGGACCACAACAGCAGTTTCCAAAGGTTCTCAGCCTACAGAACATGGTCCAGTAACACTGAGGGAAACAGATCCCAAATCCAAAACAGAAAGGATCCCAAATCTGACTGTGGGGGTGAGAGCTCACAGACCATGGGTTGTTTTCTTGCTCAGCACATCTGGTTGATGTTAGATTTGGGAGAAAAAAGCATCGACTTGATTATAAAATCATCAGGGATGGAAAATCCATCCCTTCCCTCCTGAGCTGCTGGACCCTCACTATTAATTTGCACCTCATTCCTCACCTGGATTTTAGCATTAGGAAGCAGCAATGGCTGGGAGAAACATCTTTCAACAGAGATTCCTCACCCTGACACAGAGATAAGGAGTCACATCCTTAGTGCTCCCCCCAAGCACTTGTCTCTCAAGTCAAGTCACCTCTCAATCATCCTCACAACCTCAAGGCTGTCAGAGGACGAGGCTACAAAACTTCAGATGTGATGTTTGGAAAGGGCACAGTCCCAGTTGCACATGTTAATGCCTTTCCTTTCCCTCTCAATTTAATTTGGGAGGGAGAGGACACAAGAAACAACTGGAGCCTTCTGGGAGTGCACCTGCTGTTTAACACAAACTCCTCTCTCACAGAATGATTCTCAGCACAGGAAGTTTAACACAAAGATCAGCTCAGTAAAACAGCTCTAGAAAGGATAAAACTTGCTCCAAACAGTAGTGGACAAAGTGTGGGGGGGGTTCATCTTGTTTGCTGCAATGAGAAATAGCACAGATTATTATCTTTTACTCCTGAGCTTCCTTTGAAAATGGATGTAGCAGCTAATCCCCAACACGCTGGATGAGGCAGGCAAATCCTCCTGGGAATGATCCCTTATCAAATTCACTCCTTTACTGAGGCTCAAGAACTTTGGGCAGAACTTCAGTTCAAAGCATGAAATCCATTCTCAGTGTAACTGGGCCAAGGTTGGACAGGGCTTGGAGCAACCTGGGCTAGTGGAAGGTGTCCCTGCCCATGGCAGGGGGTGGGATGAGATGAGCTTTAAGGTCCTTTCCAACCCAAACCATTCTGTGGTTCTTTAACCACCTCACTGAAGCAACAGGTTTGAAACCCACCCCTTTGCCCTTCTATCCCTGTGTTCCAGAAGAATCAGCCTGGTTTTGGTTACAGAAAGAAAACAGCCAAGAACACCCTTTCTCAGTCAGGACTGTGTCCTCTCCTCTTCCTTTCTCTCACTCCTCTGTCTGGATTATCCAAGCAGAGGATTATTTTGCAGCAGGCCCTGATCCCCCCACCCCTGCAGCCCCAGGACAGGATCAGCACTTGCCAAACCCCACAGGGCGAGCCCAGCAAGGTACAACTTGTGTTTTCAGCAACTCCCTTTGCCCACTTTTATTTTTTAAATGTGCACAGACCAAACCTCCCCACGATTCCCACTGGCAGTGAGTCACAGGAGCTGCAGTGCCAGCTCGTCTGGGGCTCAGGAGGATTGACTCAGCCTCGATGGATTGATTCACTGGGAAAACATGGGGCTTGGATTTTGGTTCCAGAGAAATCAGCAGCACCTCCCCAACACAATGCATCAGCACTTCCACGCCCCAGGAGCACTTTAATGGAGATTCTGTGTACCAGAATCATGTATAACATGGTGTGAGCAGGGCAGGGATTGTCCCCCTGTGCTGGCACTGCTGAGGCACCTCCAGTCCTGGGGGCCCTTTTGGGCTCCTCAGAACAGGAGACCCGGAGGGGCTGGAGCGTGTGCAGGGAAGGGAACGGAGCTGGGGAAGGGGCTGCAGCAGCAGA